ATCTTGGACTTGGGATGAAGTCAACCCTTGAGCTGAACACTGAAATTATTTAACTCATTTTGCTGCTACCTTGATGAGCTCTGAGAATAGGGTTATATATCTGGATAGCTAGCTAGCTGGATGGATAGATGGAGTAGTAATTTTAAAGCTTGGTACTGAATTTGCCAAGTAACATTAAGGCATGCAGTATAATTTATAGTTTATCGTTTAAAGTCATGTCCACAGTTGTGGGTTGCACTCCTGGCTGTTGAAGCACCATGTGGGTATGGTCAACTGATCTTTTTACATTTACTTCTGGTGGCTTTGCTTGTGGCCCTGTGGAAGAAATACAAGAACAAAGTAATTCGTTCCTGTTCTGTCTCAACACTTCACACTTGTCTGAAGTGGCATTCAGCATGCATGATGCTTACTGTTTCTTTTAGGTTTTATTTTGTCTAGCATTTGTTTTGATACAGCAAGTCATTTACTTTTTTTTAAAGTTCATGTCCCTTGGGGCACAAAGTGTATTTTCCAATGGGCTTAAATGGTTTAAGAAGATAAATCCCCCCAGACCTCCAAAGAGATTCGTATCACTGATTGTGGTATTTTTTGAAAACCCCATTCAAAAGGTGCTGAGTGCAGGCAATTGTGATGTGAAGAGGAAGGGTTATGGTCGTCTTGCTACCCTTGGAAGGGTCATCTTACTACCAAACACCAATACTTAAGCGGAATAACAACTGTTATGGCAAGTCCTTACCTCTTTCTCTTCCTAACTTGCAAATGGCTGAAATCCGGTGAGTGTTAGCAACCCGTCACTTGTATGCCAGCCAAGAAGCTGTTATTTTCTGACCTTTTTTTTCTGAATTTTCCTGACCTGCATCTGTATTGGCCACTTGGCAGCACGTTGAGAGCGGAGAAGCGTGGCCGGGTGAGCTGGCCAGGCTGCGCACGGCCGTGCCACCGGGCTGAAGGCCAGTGACTAGACCAGCAGAAATTCATGGCAAAATAGCCAAAGAGTGCCCTTATTATTTAAAGTTGTATGTCAGTTTATTTTAATAAAGGCAGTGAAACCCAAAATAAAAAGTCGGATATTTGAGGACATGCTGTGGGTCTAGTGACTTGGAGTTACGTACAAGCGTTCAGCATGGGTGATGCACAGTTAAGAGAGCCAAAGGCAGTGGAAAAGCAAAAAGAAACAAGTTTAGGGGAGGATTCCCAGTTTCCAGTGGGGCAACTGACAGATGTTTCTTGTTTCTCAGTGCAGTGACATTTGTTTTTAGTCTTAAAAGACATGGCATAACTTGTGCTAAATTTTTGTGATCAAGTGCAAGGGTGGTTCTGCAGAACAGGAGATGCATCGTGAAGCATTAGAAAAGTTTATTCTAGAGCAGGATCTAAACCTACAGCAAAGGGGTAACAGACCCTCACCATGTTAATTTGACAGAAATCCTTCCACCTCCATCACTGTCATCTTTTCCTGTTGTAATTTCAGTTGCATGCAGGCTTCTACTGGAGATGATCATGCTACATATACTCTTGGGATAAACATCCTAGCTGCTGTGTTTCAGATCACATTTATATGGGCTGGAGCTGCACCGTTGCCAGATCAACCAAGTGGGAAGGTTGGCCTTGCTCCATATAAACATCTCTGACTAAGCAAGCCACACTAAATTTGGAAAAGAATTAGGGGAACTCATTTTTCAACTGCCCTGGAGTATTTTATCTCCAGTTGCCCCATGTTATCATTTCATGGGAAGAGTTTCTATTACTCATGACTGTTTCCATCATGTTTATTTTCAGATAGTGTATTTTTATCTTCTGTAAACCAAAAGGGATTAAAGTTCTATCAACGAACAATGGATCAAGGGTCCATCCGTTTCTTTTCCCACCCACAGGTAGCACTGCAGTTCCTGCTGAACCAAGAGGTGCAAGGCCAGGTCCTCGTGTGGTGCCACTCACAATCTCTTCAAAAAAACTTCTCTTCTAATTTTAAGAGGGGGTAGTATTTTTAATGCAGAGATCCTTTGCAACAAGTAGTGCAAAGACTGGAATAAACAGCCTGAAACATTTGCTCCTCGATTCATGTTTTGGTTGATTGTAAATATAATCTGCAGATAAAAATTACATTGATGTCATATTTCTCAGTTATATATATTGTGAATTGCACAGTTCCTTTTTCTTTGGTCATCGTACTTTAAGCTGATCTAAGAAATGTTGACAGTGAAGAATCACACTTCTGAGCCGATTTAGCCATAATTGAAAGACTTTGCCAAAATTACAGGTATTTCCTGTGATTGTTGTTTTTTTTTTTTTTTCCCAAAACCAGAATTTTGTTCTTTGTCCCACTTCCTCCACAAATTTTTACTGCAGGATGCAGGCAGCAGTCAAGTGAGGTCCAGTGTCCCGGAGCCCTCTGTAATGGATTAAGAGGCCACTGCAAGCTGGAAAAGAAAAAGCCACGGTGGAAAGTAGGGGCAAACCCTAAGCAGGAAACTCCACCGGGGCTGGAGCCAACAACATCCTACTGTTGGCTGGGGCTATTAAAAAAAGAAATGCTATGAAGAAGGTTTTGGGAAGCTTTGTCCTTATTTGGAGAATAATTTTATGCCTCTGCCCAAAGCAGGCTAATTTTTAAAAGGCTGTCAGATGGGCAGGGATTTTCTGCTTCGGCAGCACTGGTATCCTGCTATTATACACAAGCACATCCTATAATTGGCAGGTTTCGGAAAATCTGGTCTCTTCAAACCAGAGGGTTGGAGTCCAGATTGCCACCTGGTGCTGTCCCACAAGTAAATCTGCAAAAAAACATAGAGACCTGAAAACTTAACCCTTCCTCCTGACATCCCTCCAGCTTTGTGTAATGACTCTGCCAACGCGGCGGTCAGCCGAGCCGCCTCCCCCGCGCACCCGGGCCGGGCTCAGCGGGGCGGCAGGTTTGTAACCCGGCAGCGGTGTGCGATTGGAAAGGGGCAGGAGTGGGGCAAAAGGGGCTTTCGGTTTAGCTGAAGGCAGCGATCCCGTTGGTGCTTAAGAAGGAGAAGGCTTCAGCTCACCTCTCTGAGCTGGTTGCGTGGGAGTAGCTGGAATTGAAAGGTCGTGTCAGTATTGTGCCTAAACGTGAGAGATGCGTCAAATTCTGTGCATCAAGCTGGAAATAAAATTGCAGAAGCAGAGGAGCTGACGTGTAGCTTCTTCTTTTGCGTGCACATCCACGTAACTACAGTGATGTAAATGTAATTATCAGAAAGTTATGGAGTAATTAAATACCGTGGCCATCTGAATTGATGAAATCACCTCTAACAGCCTGGTCTTGTCCCACATTAGGAGCAAATCAGAGCTGGACCTGAAATAAGCACCTTCCAAAACCTTTTGCCATTGCCTATCTCAGCGAACTCCTGAGCAAACTGGCTATTTTTCCATGGCAGTCTCAGCCACAGATGTGTGGGGTTTTTAAATGGAAATAAGGTAGCCAGAAGTGGTAAATCTTGGATCATAGCATCTTCTACACCAGAGCACCCCATGCACTTTCTTCTATAAAATCCCATGCACTTACTCTCATAATGATCTTTTTTGCTTTAACTGTATTTAAAAGTATTTAAGATGCAAAAAGGCACGAACATTCTGGGAACTACACTGACACTTAAACCTCTTTTTTTGGTGAGAAATGGCAATAAAATCACTAGTAATCCAGAAAGTTTTTCATGGTGGTTTTGAAGGGACTATGCTTATCTGCTTGAAAGAGCAAATCTGTCGAGACCTCTCTCTGATTTCATCACAGCTGCTGCAGACTCGCAACCTGTTGTATAAAATACAGAAACATCATGAGAACTCCTAGTGAATCCCTTTTGGTGGTAGTGCTGGTGGGTGGCTGGGAGGAGTTTGTCAATCCTGGAACCTCATTATAGGATGTAGGTGGTTCAGCTTTTCCAGGGCTCCGGAGGTCAAGGTGCTTCTTGCTGGTTCCTCTGTTTGGCCCTTCAGGAGTGCTGAATGCCAGTCCTGGTTTAGGAGTCCATGTGTATGGAGGCTTCAAGAAATCTCAGTTTGGGAACTACCTTTTTTTATCTTATACAGAAAAATTAATATTTTTTTCCCCAGGCAGAACAAAATAAAATTTTGAAAGCATCAAGACTGCTTGAGGTGTGAAATTACATTTCTCTGTTGTATGCTCAGAAAAAATCCCCTTTGTCATGGAGTTCCTTAATACAAGGAAGAAGGATCTCTCCAGTATCCAGGACAGTCAGGATGCTACCTAGATTGTAGTCTGGGTTTTGGTTTTCGCGTTGCTCCAGACCCTTTGAGTCACATATATGTGCATGGCTTTAACTTTTAGCTTCACTTCCCTGTCTGTAAAGCATTATTATTTCTTTGATAGGGTTAATGAGTTAATTACTTGAAAATTGCTCTAAGATTCTCAGAAATGAGACTGTCTGTGTTTTTATTGCTGTTACTGCTACTGATGAGATCTTTATCACAGCAAGACAATACCAGATAAGTGTTTATTGCAGCATGACTGAGATCTGTTTACATTAAATCAAAGAAGAGACTGCAGTGCCCAGGCCTAGAAAACGTCCTTTGTAGGAGCTTTGAGTCAGCTTTAAAATCTCACTATGTGATAAAATGGGCTAATATGGCTAAACACTAGCCAGTATCACTTGTCTCTGTGTTTCTTTGAAAACCTTATCAGCTCTCAAACACCCACGGCTCTGTGGCAGTAGGTCCCAGGGAGAGGCAGATAGCATCTTCTCTTAATGGATTTGGATTTGGGGTATGTTTTACCCACTCTTAGAAGGAAAACCAACGTCCAAACCCCAATGTTTTCCTGGAGAAATTCCCTCTGTGCTTGGTTATCACAGCAGCTGAACACATCTCCGAGGGTTTCCTGATCTGCTGTGCAGCAAGTGGCAGTTGGGATGCTTGGGCAATATTTTGGGTCGCTGGTGATAACTGCCTTGCTTCTGCATTACAGTTTCTGAACCCACATACATTAAATACAAATAAATCTCTGTTTTTTCCTTCAGGAAAAACAGAAGCTGTCATCAGAAACTTCAGCCCGCACTACAGACGCCAGTACGCGGTGGCTTTCTGCAAGCACGTGCAGGATGAGCTGGAGCAGCACCGGGATTTCCAGTCTCGGTTCCTGAAAACCAAGGTAGGAGGGCACATAAACCCTTCCCCCTCCTCAAGCTGCCATGCAGCTCTGCTCTTCTGCATAAAATAATTAACGCATTAGCTATTTAAATCACACATTTAGTAGTCATAACGTATAAAAAACATGAGCTGGAAGTGTATCAGCTGCTGACTGGCCTTGGTTTTCTTGTTTTTCCCAGTGTTGAATGCCCTCAAGTAAAGTTAGTAGGCAGTACAGATACTCAAAGCTTCTAAAAATCAAACCCAAAGTATTTTTAAAGCTATTAAAATGCTTTTTATTTACAAGCACAGTACAGAAGTGTACTTTCAGCTTCTTACATTAGATAGTTGAATACATAATAAATACGCATCTAGAACATTCTATGTGAGTACTTCTATATAATCCAAGCACACACAATAGATTTGCAAGTGCAGATGCTGGATTTGATTCAGTTAGGTTTTAGGTGGAAAAGCTACATTTGGGTGGAGGTTTAAAGTTTATTTTTGAAAACTCATCTTTGTTTTAGTCTTGTTTGGTTGTCTTGTCGTACCATAAGAAGAACCATGACACAAGTTTCTGGTACAAAGCATGCATTTCCTCAAGGTAGAGTTGGACACTTGGATAAAAGTAGTTGCTTCCTGCTGATTGCAAGATTTTACAAGAATCTTGGGAGAGAGATCATACATTCAGGGCAGAAATTTATGTAGGAAACTTAATTAACCCTTTCAGCCATGGCTACAGGGTTCCATAAAGAACATGACAACAATCCCCTCTGTGATGTGAGCTATGGAGAGCTGGTTTTTATTAGAGGAGGAGAGACGAAAGTCTCTTTATTAGAGGAAATGGCAGAGAACCAGCCTTCAATATTAAGAAGATACAAATCTAAATTTTTCGTCTGTCTTTGAAATCACAGGTTTCCAATGGCATTGAAATGAGTAGGATAAAGCAATGAGGCGGGCTGTAAAAGGTGGCATAATAGAAGAGCTGTGTATTTCAGAAAGACTCATATCAGTTACAAGAGCACAGGTGCAAAAGTGTTACAAAGAAATGAGAAATAATTTACTATTTTATAATAAAACTCTGCTTCATCAATGAAATGTTTTTAGTACATAGTGGAAAATGGGAGATCATGAACTACAAGTCATCTTGCATTCAGCATGCCAACTGAAAGGTAAATAAGAACGTCTGTCTCAGAAATCTGGAAGGATTTTTGGGAGGCAGAGTTCTTCTACTGCCTCCTCACCTGAGGATACAAGAATTCGATTGTGTATGTAGTATCTGCCTGAATCAGCGAGACGTTTATGACTCCAGATTGCATTTGAAGATTCAAAAGCCCTTGTAGCAGCCTTATGGAAATGTAGAAATAAAAGCTTCAAAATGGTCAGTAATCCAGAATCATTTGAAATCTTGACAATTGTCTGTGTAGCCCCCGGCAGAAGCTGGGACAGTCCTGTATGAAGCAGAGCTGCTGCATTTTGCTGAGGATCTGAAGAAGTGGAAGGACAGATATGTCGTTATCAAAAACGACTACACTGTGGATTGCTTTGAGACTAAAGAGGTAAAATGCTGCTTCCTCTTATGTTCTTCTATGCTCCCAAATAAACTGATATCAAGTGAAATTGCCACTGCTGCTGCCTTTCTTGTAGCAATACTAGATGAACTGTTGTCTCCAATGAGGTGGCTCCAGCCTTGCAGAGCCGGCTGGAAGCTCCACAGGGATGGCTGAGGATACGACCAAGAGCCTTGCACTGGCCATATATATTTGCAAGAACTAGCAAATAATTTTAACAGTGCTTTGAACCTTCCTTTGCCTATCACAGAACTTTTCTTATCTGTATGTCATTGTAATACATCCCTGTGCTTCTGCAGTTGGATTTTAAGTAGCAGTTTTTGGGTGGCTTCAAGTTGACTACAGTGAAGCTTTCTGTTTGGCAGCTGCCGTAGTCAAACTAGTCCTGGCTGACAAATCAAACAAATAGGGGTTAGAAGAAAATCCCATCCTTTTCCCCTCCCTTCTGTCCCTGACTCTCCACCACAGCTGATAAGCACCAAGAGGATATTTCTAAATACGTTTTTTACATTTAACCATGTTTTCAATTTGACGTGTCTTGGGAGTATATCCAAAATTTAGTCTGACAAAAAAATCTTCCCTTTGGGGAATATCCCCATACATATTAGCTTTGGCATTGAATTTTGTATTTGGTGTTTTCCCTGTCCTTAAATCTCTACTTGACTCCCTCTCTCTTGATTTTCCAGGCCTACCAGAAAGGAGCCAGCCCTAAATATCATGTTCTTCCTGCAGGAGGCAAAGTACTGACTTCAGAAGAAGATTACAATTTACTGTCTGATAAACATTTTCCAGATCCTGTTGGTAAGCCCTGCTTGAGGCTGAACTGCCAAACCCCGGGCTACATTCCTTACGCAGACCTCTTCTGGGCAGGCTTTCAGGCTAGACTTTAAAACAGAGCAGCAGAAGATGCACTCAGCCCTTTTTCTAAGTCAAAGCTCAGCTCCAGAGTGGAAATACTTGGGAGATGGTATAAGCTAGCATTCAGAGAAATGCTGGCTCCCTGTTTTTTTTCCAGCATCCCGGCACAAAGCCGCTGGAAGCTGTGCAGAAGCAGGGCAGGAACCACACCACCATTGTTCCCGGGCTTTGTTAATATTCCTGGTTTATTTGTTTCCATTTTTAGATGCCAGCTGCCTGTGTTGACTCACGGTTGATAATAAGTCCCACAGAGAGAGCAGGAAGGTTGCTGCTGCTGAATTTGTTGTTTCTGAGGTGGGAACCGCTGTGGTCCTGCCTGCCCCCACTCCTTGAAGATGGAGAAAATGCAGGCTTTAAGGGAGTGGATCTCATGTTGCAGAGTCAGATTTGGAAAATGGGATGCCACATAAGGAGAGGGATAAGGACAAGATGTAGACAAGGATTTTTTTTTTTTTTAAGTCCTGTCTCATACCACTTAAAGTTATGACTGCTGGGAGGTGTCCCCCTTACACCCCTTTCCCAAGGTTTGGGGAGGTCAGAGGGTAGCGCGGGGCAGCGGTGCCTGGAGGTGTCCTCTGTGCGTCACCACAGCTCGGCAGGAGTTGGGGATGAGTGACGTGGAGCAGGCCAAGGACGCTTGCAGGCTTCCCATGGCTCTCTCTTCACCAAGAGTGGCAAAGTTAGTCCTTCAGGGCCCTTCTCCCCTTCTGTGTGATGATGAAGACCTTCCAAGATGAACTGCTTGTGGTTGGGCTCTTGATGCATGGCACCGAGACAAGATTGGGTTTGGTCATCCATAAACGGTGTCATACAGCATCCCCCCTTGTACCGTGACTCAGGGCAGGTGGAAACTGGTGATACTCAATGCTTTCTTTGCTTCACCCTCAAGGGCTTGAAGTGACAGTTCATAAGGCCATCTTGTGTTTGGAAACCCTGGAGACAGGGAAACCGCTGCTGTTCCTACATGGTTTAATGCAATTCCTTTCTATATGGAAGACCATATGCTGCGTGGTGTCTATGTGGTAGAAACCAGAGCTGCCCAATGACTTACTTATTTGCCATGAAAGCCTTTTCCCTAACAGCCACAATTCAATTCAATAGTTTCTTTGGAATTTTACCAAAGACGTGTAGTTGATGGCCACCTTGACTACAAAACAAGAGGACATCAAGTTGCTATGGTATCACGTAGAGAGGTGGTTGGTGCCTGCTGTGTTTGCCCATCCCAGCTCTGCCCTGCTGCCCTCCATGCCCAATCGCTCGGATCAAGAAGACTTGACTTTTTCATGTCTCATGCTTCCCTGCTAGCAAACGTCTGTTCTCTCTGTCATAGCAGAAGAAAAGAGCCAACTCCCCCTGGCAAGAAATCTGCAGATTTCAAACCGAGGTGTGTTTTTTGTGTAGGGTCAAGTGAGAAGGAGGTCCCGCAAGCCTTTGTTCAGCTGCCGAGGGAGTTCCCGGTGTATCTGTGGCAGCCCTTCGCCCGGCACAGCTACTACTGCTTCCCGGAGCCCGAAGCTCAGAGGCAGTTCAGCGCCGTGCTGGGGGACTGCGTGAGACACTCAAACCACGGTGAGTGCAGAAAGGGCCCCTTCCTGTACGTCATTCACCCCGGCAAAGATTTAAATAGCTATTAGAGTAAAAAAGGTGTAGAAAAATGCAAGTCGCTTATGAAAGATGCTTGGCTTTCAGGGCCTTGAGGAATGCATTAACACACCCCTTCTTGCTTTGCCTGGAGTGAAGTTAGGTGGGATTTGAACTGCAGGGTAGTAAGCTTGGGTGGAAAACATGGGAATTGCTTTGCAAGTGACATTCCCCTCCCTGTCAGCTCATCTAAACCCAATACCATGATACAAAATCATAAGAGATGTTTACTCAGTATGGCATGGCAAAGTGCTACCTGTGTTTGCAAGCTTGACAAATGCAACACAGATGTAGTAGTCCGGGTTTGTACAACGTGGAGGGAATGTGGTCTCCCAGTACATTTCAGGAATGTTATACGTATATCACCAATGGTCAAACATTTGATGTCTTCTGCGGGTGTTTAGGTGGCAGCTCAAGCCTCAGCCATGGTTAAGCTTTGTAGGAGGGATGTGAATGGTGTGTAAGACATGGAAGTGATTGTTTGCACAAGGGTAAATTTTAAATCTCACTTTCTGGGCATGTTAGACTAAAAAATGTTTAAAAATTCCAACTTGTGACTTGCTAGGATTATAAAAACAACTTTGCTCCCATGAAATTGGAAGACCATTTATGAGTTGGATCCTTTGGAAAAACAAATGCTTTCCTGTATTCCAGATGACTTTTTTTCCATCAAGCTGACCTGGTTCCCCAGCTGGTTTCCAGGCTCTTCCTTGCCTTTAGTGTCACTTTTAAGTCCCATCTGCTCCTGCTGCCTTCGGTGGGAGATGGGAACCCTCAGGAACTTAATCTCAGCTACTTGGGCCTGAAGCCCCCGCTTGTAGATAAATGAATTGGGAGTGCAGTGTGTGAACGATCCCTTTTACTTACAGAAGTGGCTCCCAGTGTGTTTTTTTTTAGCTGTCACTTTTGTCTCCTGGTCATCAGCTTCACCCCATTACCCTCAGACAGCTGTCTCACACTGTCCTCCCTGGATCCTTCTCAACTGTCATCTCTTCACCCTTGTCCCCATTGCCGGAGGCATTCCTGGTCGTCTTTAGGGACTTCATTTTCATGATGAAAACACACATTACTCTATTTCTAGACAGTTTCCTAAGATGTGCAGTGATTTGCATGGTGCTCGGTGGTGGCTGGTGGCAGGTGCCTTCTTTGCAGGACACGTGGAGTTCTCGGTCCTGATGTTAGCCAGGTGGGGTATGTTCCCCTAACACTCAGTGGACCCCCTCTCCAGCTTGTTTCCAAGCTCATGCTGAGGTGGTGAGACACAGCACGCCCTCCTCGCTCTGACGGCCTCGTACAAACCGGAGGAAGCAGCTCCGGTGCAAGTCAGTGTAGGTGTGGAGAGGCTGGGGGCTAAAACACCCAGGTAAGCAAATACCCAGTCACAGGGACTATGAAGACTGTTTCATGGCTAGATTAACACGGGTTGGAGGCATCGGTCTAGAATGAACAAGCCTTCACTTGGCACTTCCAAATAGCTTGAGTCTCAATAAATATTCCCTATATAGCTGCCAGAGGATTCCCATAACGTGCCCGAGGGCAAAGCCTGCCTCTGGTTTTCGGTTCTGACAAGCATGGTTTTAGCTGCTGCAGTCATACAGTATGAAAACTCGCCGGACTTTGGAAAGCCACCCCTTTGCCCCTCACTGGGATTTGGTAAGGAGATGGGGATACAATCAAGTTTTCCTGGCACTGTCAGTCCTCCATGACTTGAAGCCTGTTCATTGGGTTTGGGGTATTTCATTTCTCTCTTCTGGAGCAAGTGTAACAGGCTTGACAAAGCTTTTGGCAGCCTTTTTTCTTCTTAAAGTTCAGCACATCACTCTAGGGGCCGATTCTGAATTGGCAGAAGCTGAGACTAGATGACCTAATAGGTCTTTTCCATCTCCAGTGCCTGCAAGTCTGTGTTTTATTATATTTCATATGGTTCAGTTCTTGCTCATTTACGCCTCTTTTCCAGGATTTATCCCCCCCTTGGCTTTTTCTGTGGTCAAGTTTTTACCTGACAGAAGATGCTTAGTGACACCGGTGTGCCTTTATCAAGGTTCATCCTTCCTGTCACATTATTTCTGCTCAACAGACTGATGGGTAGATAAAGACAGTCTGGATTAAAACCTACTGTTACACCAGTAAAAGTGAACAGGTTTTTACAGCTAGGGAAATGGGAGCCCATATTTTGGGGTTTTTTTGGAGTTATACCATCTCCTAGAAGCCTAGGTTGCTGCAAGTGGAAAAATGATCACTGACAAGCACCCCAGTAACTTTAACTCCACTTGGAGTGAACTTCTTCAGGGCTTTTTTTCAAGGACCACATATTGATTTAAATCTCACATGACTGAAGGATGTTACTTTATTAATACTCTTTAAAGCCTTATTTGCAAACAATTCTTCCTACAAAAAAAAAAATGGGTATCTGAACAATCTGTCAAAGTTATAGGCATGTGCAGCAATACAGTGGGTAATAAGGCTTGTGATAGAAAAATCGGCTGTGCTCTTTTATTAAAAAAATTGAAAAGGGAGAAGGAATGTGAACAGACCTTCACATTTGATTGTGGAATATAGTTTAGTGGGATAAGGAGCACTGGCCAAGGCAGCACTCACACCCCCTCCCCCTTCTAAAAAGTGCCAAGTTAACTTTTGCCAGGGCAGATTTGGCAAGGGGAGGAGGACAGATGTAATGTCTGACCAGAAGTTGTCCTTCTGTCTTTTCTATAATCTCCCACTTCTGGAAAGGAATGTATCGCACTGGGCTTTAGCCAAGAACTTGGAGGACTTTTCGGTTAAGGTCTGTTTTCTCCCAGGAAGCAGAATTAAATACGGTCTTTTGCTGAACAGAAAACTGGAGTGAATCAGTGTGTGGTCTTGCAGTGGGAGCCGCCCTGGCATTCAGCTGTTTCCTCTCTTTAGAGTCCCTCGTTATAAATAACTGGTCCAGCCTCTGTTTCAGGGTTTTCTGGTCAGAACTCATGGTCAGGAGAATAATTGCAAAAGTATTTGGATTTAGTGATCACCTCTTGTAAATATGATTCAGAGGAACAGATTGCGAGTTCTCCTCCCCCCCCCAATTTTCCTATTGTGTTTGTCCTTTATACTAACTGATAAGGGTTTGCAGTTGGAAGGGACAATGATTTCCTTCATTATCAATGGAATATATAGATCTTTCGAGCCCTTCTTGAGTACAGTTCAAATAAAGCATATTTAAAACCTTCAAAATGAGCCTAAGCCAATCAGGACGTGACTGATCATGGCTTTAAAAATAAATATTCTAGCTCAACCAGACACGTATGCTGAGATTCTCGGAATTACCCTCACTCTGAAAGTTGATTGACTGATTAACCTGCGTGCAGAAATCATCCCAGTTCAGTGATTCATCTGGGCAGCTCCCGCTTTGTGCTTTGCAAGCTGGCTTTCGTGATGCCTCAGGATGTGGGGAGCCGATCAAATGCTTTTTGGGTTTTTTGTTGTGAGCTTATGTGATTAAGGGCTAATTAATGAAAATACGAGCAGCAAAGGACCCCTGACAAACTGATGGGTGCAGAGGGAATGCAGAAGGGAGCTCAGAGGAGAGGGCTCAGCTTACGGTCCCGTGGTGAAACCCACCCAGGTGGGCCACCAGCAGCTCTCCCCGACCACCTCGCAGTGTGTAGGGCTGTCGCTGCATAAGCGAGTGCGGGACTCATTATGGGATGGAGGGGAAGAGCATTTGGAGATTGTGTAAATAGGATATTTTCCAGGAGACTGTTGGAATATGCAAGATTTATTATGGAACGTTTAGGGGAAGGACTGAAGGTAGGAAAAGGGAAGGATCAAAGTGGATTGGAGAGGAACAAGTGTGAGGTAACAGAGGGAAAAAGGGGATAAATGGAGTCCATTGGGTGTAAACAGGAGGCTGGTCAGTACGCTTGTCCCACGCTTCATCACCACAGTCTGTCCTGTCTTCAGACTGAAGTCCATTTCTACCTATTTTCCAGGGTGAGGGTGCTCTCCAGAGTGTCTGGTGGGGTCTTGAGTGCCAGCAATTAGAGAATGAGTCACGGGGACTCGACTGGTTTGAGGTGCCAGCACCTGGGGAGATGTGTGAAAGAGGTCTCAGTGCTAGCAGTGGGAGAAGGGACCAGAGAGCACAAGGGCCCACAGGGGCAGGCCCATCATCTGGTGAGACCAGAGTACTTTCCTAATGGGCTCCCACCAGCCCTGCGCGTACGTAGGCTTCACTCGCTAGCAAACTTCAGTCTGGACTATCTGGCAAGTAGGAGAGGAGGTGTGGAAGCCAGTGACCAGAGACACCATAGGACAGGGACCAGTGCTGGAGGGCCCGTAGATCTGAGCCAGCTACCGAAGAGACATGGGGGTCTGAGAGTTCCTGCTGGGGGGAACATAGGTCTGGACCTGCTAGCAGCGGGGGCAGGTGTGGAAGGACGCAATGAGAGCTGCAGTTATTGAGCTACCAGATTTGGCAACTCTAACATAAGCCATACTTGCATTGGAGTCCCTTTTCTCGCTGAGTTCGAGTTAAATATATTTCCAAATTGCTTTTAATCATTCAGTGTATGACTCTACTCCTGTGAAGATTAACGCCTCTGTAACTTTACTCCCAGGGAAAAAAAAAAAAGATGACTGTAAATTTGCATACTCGGTACAGAAGTGTTACTCTCTAATCTTGGCTATTATATCAAAAGTGCCATCAAAAAGCTTCCTTCCCTCCAAACTGTCCATTCTTTATCAACAGCTATGTAATTAAGGACTTCAGTGGGCTGCATGAAATAACACTGTGTGTAGTTCTGAAATGCTGCGATTCATTTGTCATTGAATTTATTACTTAAGCATAGGATATAAAACATTATAATGGGCATATTTGCTGATTTCAGAGCTTTTTGGCTTTGGTCAATGAATATGATAAATGGAAGGGTGTGTTAAATTAGTTAAATGAC